ATTCAAATTTCTTCCACCCTTTTACTCAATAAGATCCTCCTTTAAGCCCCTACTTTCTTCTTCAACCTCCCCCAATTCAAACATAAAACCCTAATCCAACCCCAACAACCTTTATCCAATTTGATACTAGTTTGGATTAGGGTTTAGTTTTGAATTGAGAGAGTTTAAATGGGAAAGACGGGGCTCCATTGATGAGAGGGAAAGAAAGATTGAAGGAGGATTTTATTGGGTAAAAGAGTGAAAGAAATCTGAATTAGAGAAGCTTGAAAGAGAAGAAGGGTGTAATTTTAATAATTTTGATAGGTGAGGAAAATAGAAGAAATCTTATTTAAAAAAGAAGTTTGCTGAAATTTTTGCCGCCTGCAAGAAAAAATTGTGTTATTATCATTGGGGTACAATTTAAAATATTATATTGATACCAGAGTAGAAATAAGTATCATATTGGAAAATAGGTCAAGTTAGAATACAATATGATAATTTAGCTCATTTATTTGGATCATCACAATTAATATAATTTCAGAGGAATGGTCTTATTGTAAAAACATGATTTTTTTTAAAGACAAAATGGAAGAGGCCATTTTGTATGTACCATAAGTTGAGAATTGATCAAAATTTTTACTGATACATAGAATTATTCACTAAGGTACCGTTTGATAAAGGGTTAAGTGAGGGATTAAGAAGACTTAACCCTTTCTTAACCTGCCAAACACAAAAAATCTATACAAGAGATTAAAATGAGTTAACCCCCCCAAAATGAGGGGTTTACTAATACTCCTATTTAGAAAAAAATTAAGAGTTAACTCTTCTAATTATAAAGAAAATAGTCAAAATCATTGTTATTCTCAAACACTAAAACTGATAACAAGAGCTAAAATAAAACTTATTTAACAGGTTAATAATTTAGTCATTCAGATTATCAAATGAGCGAAGTACATTAATCATTCTCTTTAACCCCTCTTCCTTAACCATTTGCTAAACAGGACCTAACTAACGACCTATAAGAGGGTGACATTCCAAAGAGAGCATTTTTTCCCCCTCCTTTCAGAAGTTGTTCGTTTCGTCAAACTCTCTATACAGAGGAAGCATCAAGCGCAAGCAAACTTGGACCTTTTCATCATGACTCAAGTATTAAACAACTAGCTCGGTAAAATTGTGCACAGCAATGCAAAACTTATTATTACCTTGAATTTGTACTAGTGGACGTTTATCTACTTAATAAACCCACTAGGGTTGACAAATAATTGCGGACTCTTCATGGTACTAATTCGTATACTCCTTAAAGATTCAAAATATGAACCGCTATCATTTGAAAGTCATAAGAAAATGACATGTTGATAGTACATATTGACCATTGCACTTGGGTCTTTTAACTTTAATTTCCGATTTCTAATATTTGGAAAAGCAATAACGAAGATATTTCTACTGAAATTTATTTTATACAATCTCTCTAGAGGAACAAATCGACCCATATGCATAGATATTAATGTATTAAGCTTCCAACGGACTTATAGTTCCTATGGATTTATAGGGTTGTAGCCTAGGTGGTTCAAACTTAACACGCATAAATCTTGATACATACATACAGAACAACTTATTGATAAAACATGTAATGTTACTATGAATGTATTAATGTACAACAAACTCTTGCATAATTAATTATAACATGGCGATGATGGAGTCGGCAACTAATGGAAGTCATCATGCATGATGCAATCATGCGGTATCATCAAAGAGAACAGAAATAATGAATTGCATCCTTCATTTGGAAACAGACTTAGGTTTGTCGTGTCATCAACTTGTGACGTGCTTGGTGCTCTCAATAATATCACATCATGTATCCCCACCCCTTGTCCCTATTTGGTCACACACGACATTCAGTTTTTGCTAATTTAGTGCTTGTTTATGTTCTCCCAATAATCATAAGATATATTATGATAATTATAATGATTCCTAATATGATTAACAAATACGATTGTAATTTGTATTTATTATTACTTATCGTTCAGAATAAAGCATAGATGTTATCTATACTGATGGACTATCATGCTTGAGATCAGATTATACCCTTTATGACCATAGTCAAGAGAATCAATCCTTTGAAGTTTGAATCCATCCTCTTATCACTTTTTTTTTGATAAAGAACATAATCTTTTATAAATCATGGAGAAATATCATCAGTTGCCCACTTGGCTACAAAACATGGAAAATTAGAAAGTCATATACACTTATTTTGCTTATTAAGACCATCCTTTGCTAAAGGGGAAAAAAATGCAAAATAGACCGTTTTTATGAAATATATAGTGAAATAGACCACTTTGGTAAAAAATTAGCAAAATAGACATCTTTTTGGCCAATACGCCAAAAAGAGGTCGATTTTGAAAAGTGGGTTCAGAAAACATACGGGACTACTAGTCCCGTATGTTTACAGCTAACTAATCTAACGGTAATCGGACTCAGAAAATATACGGGACTAGTAGTCCCGTATATTTTCTGTTAACTAGCAAAACATACGGGACTACTAGTCCCGTACGTTTTGCAGAGCCACTTAACCTCTACCCAGCAAATCCACGGGACTAGTAGTCCCGTGGATTTGCTGGGCAGAGGGCCAACATGCACCAAACATGCATGGGCCTCATTTATCGATTACAATCAAATTTTTTGCCAAAAAGATATCATTTACAATATCACAATACAAATCTCATCATAGAGTACATCACCACACAAATCCGACGTAATAAACAACATCACAACACAAATCCGACGGAATACACATCACATCCAAAATCCGACAAAACTACACATCACAAATCCATACGATAATATATATCAGTCTAAGCTAAACAAATCCAAATGTCTCAAGTCGCCCATACGATAATATGTAGTTTAAGATAAACAAATACAAGGTCAATAAATCCATACGACAATATATATCTTAGTGGAAAAACTAACAAATAAAAAATCCACCCCTCCCCCGTTGTCTCTCTCTTCGCACTCGTTGAGATTGTCGGCGTCCTCCTTCGACTTGAGCTTGAATATGCTCGCTCTCCGGTTGTGTGTGGGGCTGTGATGGATCGGCTTGCTGTGACGGACCGACTTCATCGTCGTGCGTGCAAGGTCTACCGTGTCTACGTCGGCGTACATATAGAGTATCGTCAAGATCCACCTGCTCACGACCTTCATGCCGATCCTCATAAGTTTGTTGAAAAGCTCTACGACCTCTCGCCACTATCCGATGCAATATCGATACATGTACTGAATCTCCTGTGGCGGTAGCTAAGCCCTTATTTGCAATCCCCTCGACCTCGTCCATAGCATCTATCTATAATTACATAAAAATATTGATATTAGAAACCATAAGCTAAGAAGATATTGACATTCTATGATAATTTTGACAATTTAACTTACACATCGTCTCTCATCTACCCCTCTTGGTACATATCGGGATTGTTGGGAGCGAATCTCGATTTCGTCGACTGGAGGCGTAGTTTGAGTGATTATCCAACGTCTGGTAATCCCCCAATACCATTTAATGTAATCAACTTCTTCCATCGGAGGATAAAGCTGATTGGCAATATGTTGATGTCGATCATTCCACCTGGCAATGAATGATTGATGTGTGCGCTGCCAGTCAATCTGATGTCCACCTTTAGTCGCCTTTCTCTCTATTTTTTCGACATATATTGTGGAGCATGTTGCGCGAGTCCAAACTGTCTAAATACGCGATCAGGTACGTGTATCTCCACAATCTCGAAACAAATGAGAGGAACTCTAGCCCTCCATATGCCGTGTCCCTCCATACAAATCAGCGGTAGACGAGGTAGGTGAGGGGTGTATGGCTGCCACTCGAACTGCAAAAAAATCCAAATGTTAATATCTCTTTGAAATATATTGATATCATAGAGTACTTCAATTCAAATTCGATACCTGAAAAATTTTCATCCGGTCGAGCTCCCCTCTGTAAAAGTCTATAATTACCTAGCCGGGGTCTCATCATAGGCTTTTGTGACATTCCATCTGCAAGAAACGTTTTTGTTCAAAATGTTAAATTTAAAATTAAATACAAATGAGATTCAATTTGACGCTTTTTACCTGCAGCCTAGTGGAATATGTCCATCTAACTCTCAGATCTCGCATAATCGTGGTTTCAAAACCAATCTTTCCCATGCCCAAACTTGTAGCAATGTTAAACAACCCTTGAGCTCCTTATTCTGCATTAAAGCAACCTTTGACATTTCTCGATATAGGTATGCTAAAACAGCACTACCCTAGGATAATGTCCCGTACACGTCGAAGTCTTCGATAAGTGGTAACCACCTAGCGCGAGTTCAAATACGTTAGTCATGTATACTAAGAATAGTGAGCAAAAATCAATACTTAATGTTTACTTACCTCAAATAGACTTTATGTTTACTTGAATCGGGAAAAAGAAGCATCCCGATCATGTGCATAATATATGCTCTCGCATGCTGTTGGATCATCACTTCAGGTGCATCTTGTGGCAACGGGTTTCCAAAACTCTCCTTAAGCCATTTCAATCTAATATACCCTCCAGGCAAGGACTCCGGAGATATTCCTAACAAATTATCACATACTCTTCGCCAAATATGCCTATCAGTCCTCGTGACACAAGGTCCATCAATGCGAAGACCTAGGATCACTACTACATCCTGGAGAGTAATAGTTGTCTCGCCGACATGTAGATGGAAAGTATTAGTCTCCGGCCTCCATCTATCCATCAACGCGTTAAGCAGTGCCCAATCGAGCTCCATTCATTTCAATTTTGAGCAAGTAAGAAAACCGGCTTGGGATACTAGGGCAATGATGCGAGGATCATCAAGTGGCCAGCGCGTATGTCCAAGGCTATGATCAATCATAACCAGCTCTTATCCTCTCTGCACATAAATGAATACAAATATTAGATTATAAAAATGAATAAGTAATATGTGACTGTAAATATGTTATGCTTACCGATGTAAATGATATGCTCTCCGATCGGTGGCGTGACTGATCATAAAGAACTTCATCATTAACCAGTCCGGGAAGCATCGTGTATATACCTGCACATATAACGGTAACTTATGAGTTTCTGCCAAATCAAATACATATGAACAATGTATCTACTTGCTAAATCAATAACATATAATGATGACATATCATTATAAAATATTTTACTTACAAATTAATTGCTATCTACTTGCTCTTGATGGACAACGAGACCTATTATGTCCTAATTGATTACATTGTCCACATCGGATTCGTGACGCTACTCCTTCACGACCTTGATCCATGGTAGATCTAATGGGTACGGATTTTGGTCGTCCAACTTGTCTTTTGTGCTTAGGTGGTAATATATAAGGTATATATAAATCCGGCTAATAACGAGTATCATCGGGAGGATGAAAACTCTCCTTTTAAGCCTTTCGATAATGATTTGTTGAATACCAAGCTGAGCAATATCGGTCATAAAGCAATCTAGCTCCACCATCTTGATTGGAACTAGCTGCTAAAACGTGTTGACATGGGATTTTCTGTAATTGTGGTATACTACAAGTACAACCGCATTCCTGATCGTCGAGATGAACGGTGTATGTACCATCACAATCTTTAACCTCCCACTCATTGTTGTTGAATTGTTCAATTCTACATGTTCTCACAGCCATACTCCTTTTCTGCAAAATAATCTCATTTTTTGAAGTGTACTTACTCGTCCAATTTGCACTATCACTACGCCTCTTATTAAAGTATGCATTCAATCTATAAAACATCCTTGCAACTAAGGCTTGAATTGGCATAGCACGGGCACCCTTAAGTACGTCGTTGAAACTTTCGGAGCAATTAGTTGTCATCATACAATATCGCACTCCACCATCTTTACATAATGCCCATCGATCTTCGTATTGTGGCTTCAAGTTTTGTTCAATCCAATCGTGGGCTTCAAGTGATATGGATTTAATTTTCTCTCTATAATGCTCATATACCAGTGAGTCAGTTGCACAACCGGCTTGCCATAATAGATTTTGTAAATTGACCTCTCCATGTTTTTTCTTAAAATTAGCTCTTATATGCCGCAAGCAATATCGGTGATGATGTGGTGCACTCCACCCCTCGTGCAAGGCTCGTGGAATTCCTTTCATCCGGTCAGAAATAAAGGTAATAACTCGTGGACTTTGAACAGTCAAAATATATTTGTAAATACATTGAAAAAACCACTTCCAACTCGATGTATCCTCCACCTCCACAACTACAAAAGCTATAGGAAATAGCCCACCGTTTGCATCTACATCGGTCGCAACCAAGAGCACTCCTTTGTACTTGCCATATAAATGTGTTCCATCGATACTTAAGAGCGGACGACAAAAAGAGAACCCTCTGATAGCGGGCCCAAATGCCCAAAAAACATGTATGAACCTCTCCATTTCTGGCGCGACCTCCTTAGACACTATGTCATATTCGGTACCCGGATTTTTCCTCATAATTACTGAAAGGTAATGCGAAAGTAATTGGTAAGATTCCTCCCAATCTCCAAAGATTTTAGTCAACGCCTTCCTCCGTGCATTATATGCTTTAAACTTGGATATTGTTATTCTTTTCATATCATATACCCTTGTAATTATCTGTCCTGGAGTAAGATCAAGTTCCCGCCTAACTTCGGGCATAATTAGCTTTGTGATATAATAGGAAGTCAAAGTCTTATGATCATAAGTTGCAGTCGAATTAGAACATGTATGGCGTCCGCAATAACTAGAGATCATAAATTGGCCAAGTGATTTTTTTCCTAATAGCTGCATTAAGCTTCCATGGACACTTTGAATTTCTATCATCTGCAGCACTTGTATTCTCTCCTTGACCTTTCTCATTAAAGTAACACTTTACATGATAGCTAGTTGTGTTGCTTTTCACCGTCCTGAATTTGACCCGGTTTTTGATTGCCTATTCATGTATAGCGAAAATTAATGTTTCCTTGTTCTCGAAAAGATCTCCTTTCTTGAAAGTAAAGTCCTCAGGTCGATCGAAATTAGGGCCAGGATCGACGAACTCAACTTGTGAGGCATTTATCCACTCATTATTTTGAAACTCTTCTGGCAACGGCTCTTCAGACTCTACATAGTCGTTATTTACGTAATATTCATCCATCCAACTTACGTCATCATTGGTCTCTCCAATTGCATACTACATACTATCAAGACGTTCATCCTCTTCAGCATCTTCAGTATCATCATCGACATCTACATCCTCATCATTATCCTCTACTATTGTAGAACCCCCGGTAAATCAACTGAAACATGACCCGGCGAGTTGTGGAACACGTCATTTGACATTACACCCGACTTATTTTTTAAGCGCATGGCACTTTGAGATAACGATATTTGATTATCAAGCATGCGAGAGAACTCTCCACGAGCATATGAAACTTTAGCAACCACAAACATTGGAATATTTTCAATAAACAACTCGATTGATATTTGTTTTTCCGCAAGTTGTATCATGTTATTCAATTCTTCATCATTGGTGATCTCTACAGCAATTGTTCTTTGATCATTTATTGGACAATTACAGAAGACCTTAATGGAATTTTCTTGATCATTTATTGGACAATTACAGAAGACCTTAATGGAATTTTCGACGTGATTAATTCCAGTAACTCTATATATTTGCGCCATCAATCTATCAAAGTTGTAATTTCTGGACAACATGAACATTTTCCTAGAGCCTCCATCGTATATAGGCATATTATTCATTCCAACGCTCAGTTTTCCATTGAATAAGCAAATAATCGGTACTCCATTCTCCATTTTAACTGAAGCATTAAAATTCATCATATAAACAATACATATAAATTTATGAAAAAAATTAAAATTTATGGAAAAATTAACTAAACAATACATAATTATATTTTTTTTCCAGACATTTTCCTAGACCATAATTATATATTTCTTCTAGATATACAACATTAACTAAACAATACATAATTATATTTTTTTCTAGACATTTTCCTAGACCATAATTATATATTTTTTCTAGATATACAACATTAACTAAACAATACATATAAATTTATGGAAAAATTAAAATTTGTACCTTGATTAAATTTCAGATCTCCTCGGCCTCGTAGAGAATAGACGGCGTCGGCGTCAGATTTGAGGGAGGAAGAGGTGAGTTGGGTTTGGGGGAGAGAGATTGGAATTGTTGGGTCAGATTTGGGATAGATGGAGATCGGGTTTGGGACGTTGATCGGCTTGGGAGAGAGTGAGAGCTCGGGAAAGAGAGAGGGGGGAGATTTGGAGTTGGAGCTCAGGAGAGAGAGAGAGGGGGGGGGATCGGGAGTTGGTGCTCGGGAGAGAGAGAGGGAGATGGCGAGAGAAAGAAGCGAAGGGGGAAAATGTGCCATAATTTGAGTTATATATACAGCCTGCAATTCTACGGGACTAGTAGTCCCGTAGAGCGCATTTCTTTCACGACAAATCCACGGGACTAGTAGTCCCATGGATTTGCTAGGCACACGATAAGTGGCTCTGCAAAACGTACGGAACTACTAGTCCCGTACGTTTTGCTAGTGAATAGAAAATATACGAGACTAGTAGTCCCGTATATTTTCTAAGCTCAATAACCGTTGGATTACTTAGCTTTAAACATACGGGACTAGTAGTCCCGTATGTTTTCTGAATCCACTTTTTTAAAATCGACTTTTTTTTGGCCTATTGGCCAAAAAGAGGTCTATTTTGCTAATTTTTTTTTACCAAAGTGGTCTATTTCACTATATATTTCATAAAAACAGTCTATTTTGCATTTTTTCCCTTTGCTAAATGGTGAGCTAATATGTTTCCTGACCTTTTAGTATGAAAGAATTGCACCACCTCGAAAATTTTTGCCTCCATTTGGATCTCATCGATCACATGGCCATAACTTGTTAGACTCGGGTGCATTGTCTTCTAACTCTTGAATGACCTCTAAAGTGGTCGATTCTACAACAACCCTTCTGTACCTTCTGCTTATTGCAATTCTCATCCCATGTAAAATGTGAAGAGTTTCAACTAGCGGTGGCCTCCTAATTGTAGGTAACTTCCCTTTAGCAGCAAGTAAAATTTCTCCATTGAATAGCAACTCCAAAGCTAGCTATGTTTTCCTCCCATTTAATTGTAATATCTGTGTTGATTTTCACCATACCTGTGAACGGCAGGCAGGCTCACGTGAGCCACACCCACATGATTATTAATTACCCATGGAGCGGTATTTGGTCCTGTTCGGGTTTTGTCCTGAACAAAAGTGATGAGCAGTGATTCCTATAAATACCAACTAGCTGCTAGGGTTTTCGTTTGTGGGAATAGCAGCGTGGGGAAGTTTTTTCTCGTTTCAGCCGGCTGCAGTGCGGGGAAAAACACGCAGGGAGAAAAATGCAGACAAAAACAGCGGAGGTTTTTTCGGCTGCAGAAGAAAATCGTTGTTTTGAGTTGTTTTTCAGGAGCCTTAGATCTAAGATTTTGAGGAGAAGAAAAAGAAAGATTTTACAAAAGAGGGGTTAATTTCTTTTGGGTAAAAATCAGATCTATTTTTTCTTTGAGACGAGCTTGTGGATTGTACAAGTCGTCGGTGTTCTTCTCATAGTGGAATCTCTCCTCACCCCTCCCGTGGACGTAGGCAAGTTTGCCGAACCACGTAAATCTCGTGTATTTATTGATTTCTGGTTGTTGGCTATTGCTTGTAGGTTCCCTCAATATTCGGTCTTAGAGCTGATGAGAGGAAGAGTGTATATTTCACTTTGATGAAATATATCACTTTCGATTCTTGTTTCCTTTGAGAAATAAGAATTTCACTATCTATTCTCGTTTCCTTTAAGAAACAAGAATATAGAGGTTGACTTGTGTTTTTGTGACAACAAAAGCCAGGGCTCTCTCTTAGGTGATATCGCTTCCGCGGCGATGGGCGTGACTCTGCGCCCAACAATACCGTGTTGAGACAATAACCATTGAACTTCATTCATTATCAGCCCTCCATTCCTAACTCTTGTACTGCTAGCATCGGGGTAAGTATGTTGTACCTCTGCGGCTAATATTACTGTTTGTCGAATTTCTTGAGTCACTTCTTTATCTTCAAAAATTAAGCAATCAGAACCATTTTTTTTGGCCTATGGAGATTGTTCTCATCGAATGTTCGCAGAGATTTTCCATATTGGCCCCATAACCGGTAGCTATTAGGGGCTGTTTGTTTCGTTTCCCCCAAAATCCAAAACCCACTTTCCTTCACTTTTTCACTTTCCCTCACTTTCCAAAACCCACTTTCCTTCACTTTCTCCATTTTCCTCCAATAATATTGTGACAACTCATCCCATCACATCTCATTTCATACTTTTAAAAATAAACAAAACATAAGAAATAAGTCACATCAATCAACTCATCTAACTCACTTTCCCCCACTTTTCTTCATTTTCTATCATCTTTAAAAATTACTCACATCATCCAATAATATGGTGACAACTCATCACATCTCATTAAAATTTCCTTCCATCACTTTCCTCCAAAAAAACAAGGAAATTGATTTTCCTAAGTATGTGTCACATCATCCAATAATATAATGACAACTCATCTCATCTCATCTATTTTCCCCCACTTTTAAGAATGAACCAAACACAAGAAAAGAACCTAAAAAAGGAAAGTGGGGGAAAATATCAAAAATTACTCACATCAACCAATAATATGGTGACAACTCATTTTCTCCCCCACTTTCGCTTATAGCTTTGACGAACCAAACCTCTGAAAGTGGAGGAAAACATCAAGATTCACCTTCTTTTCCCCCACTTTCGGTCTTTTTTTGCGAAACAAACAGACCCTTAATGTTGGGCCTATTGTCCCAATAAGCAACTAGAAGATGTCATATTGTTTTAGGCCCAATAGTGACGTCTTTCGTATACCTGTCAGGCTACTAAATAAACACTCGTATGGCAAACTTTTTCTACTGAAATTGAGAAGAAAAAGTAAATATAAAAAATAAAACATAAAAATAAAACAAATCATTTATATCACTTAATCCAATGTGCGTGACTAGTATTTGACTCAATTCCGAAAAAATGGAACATGAACATAATTTCAATTTTTTTTAAAAAAATATTGGATAAACTTGAATAGTAAAACTGCTTTGGCAGCAAGAAGGCTTAGTGGGGGCGTGGTATTAGAGCGGAAGTTATATTATTAGTGAGCTTTGGTGCTTGCAGATTCGTCTTCATATATTGCTGGGATGACATTGGAGATTTCTTACTTTTTTATCCTACGGCATCTTCTTTTTAACTCTCTTTTATTTCAAGCTAAAATAACACTTAAACACCTCATATTTTCACTCACTTAAAAATTTGACGTTCTCATTTTTTGCTCATATCATTTATATGTCCTAAGTTGTTTAAAATTAGCGTTTTCATACCCATTATTATGCAAATGTGAAGATTTCAGCTGAATGTTCTCATATAAAACTTAAAATGAAGTAACATGTAAGTATCATATGAGAATATCCAAGTGAAAATTTTCACTTTGTATAATAAAATGGCACAAATGCACCGATGTTTAACAACTTAGAATATATAAATGCTTTTGAAAAAAAATGAAGTGCAAATTGAGGCAGTCATTATATTTAAGTGCTATTTTGCCTTAATTTGTTTCTATTATATTTACTACTAGAATTTTGACACATGCAAATGCAAGTGCTATGAAAGCATTTTAATTCTGAATTAATAAATATATACGAAGACATGAAGGTCCGCCCCTCATGTATTTCAAGAAGTTCTCAATTAGCACGTTCTATCATAAGCTGCTTTAATTTGGCCGTGGAGGTTGACATCACGTTTTTCTTTTTCCCCATAAATTTGTAGTTA